AGTGAGGTTAAGACTCCTTCAAACTTATAAGCAAAATTGAACACGCCCAGCACACACCGCAACTTAACTTTGCTATAAAAATGTTTTATACTTATAAACTTATATTATAAGGAAAAATGGCCGTCTAACATAACGGAAAATGCTGTCCGCAACCTGGCTATTACATGAACCGAAACGTTATAAATTTATGCATATCTTTTCTGTTCATTGTTATATTACACGATAAGTACAATGGATGTACGCACGCCTCAAAATGCAAACAGCTGACTGAGTAAACAAGATTTTTTTTGGGCCACCAAGAATATGGCCGCCACACGAAAGTTTGCTTGAACGCGCAGCATTTCTTTTCAGTGGGCGGAGTTTTAACCAAGCCTTCTCTACCAACCCGACCCACTGTACATTTACAAATACCCATGCCCGAACCCCGATTCGAACCAGGAACCCTTAGTACAGCAGTCCAGCTTCAACCGAACTGCGTCACACTGGCATTGCCGTTGGTTTATTGGTGTTTTTGTATTACTTTTTGTAACATATAACACGTGCCCTTTCTAGCTTCAAGTGATTTCATTAAGTACTCCTTCATGTACAACGGGTCAAAATCGATACATTACCTGAATTACATCTTCAAATCAATAAATACTGTCAAATGCAGGTTAAACATCATCTGCTTTATTTGTGATGCAAACGTTATAGGTTACGCTTTCAATAAAATTAAAGGCAGGATTATTACAACGAAAGCCTAACTCCAGCCTTACATCCTTTTCACGATCTGATCACCGATCTGAATGGTAATTGCTCCATCAATAATATCGACGTTGTAATGGCGGTCCTCGTACATCAAATCGAAGTAGGGCAACGTAAAGGTATACTAGATTAACGTTCAATTCAAATTTTTGAGTGAATTTTGAATTCTTGAATTCGACCACGCCTTGTGTGGGAATAATCAAATCTCGTGTGACAGATGCGTCTTGTGTAATAGTTGATTGTACTCTGAGTATTTATTAAATAACAAGGTATTAATTATTAACGAGCTCCCGACGAGTTCATAATGTTGCGGTGTCTGTCTGTCTGTCCGTTAGCACATCTCGAGAACGAGTGGCCCAATTATGATGAAATTTTACAGGTTGATTCTCTATCAAATTTGTAGATCGGAGTTCGTGAACTGGCAATGTAGGTCAAAAAATAAGGAATGTCCTTTTGGCATCTCCTTTAGTTATGAACCGAATTGCATAAAATTCGAAACGAACATAGCTTTAGCCATATAATACGTAATGCCAAGCAATCGCAATACCCAGGAGCTCGTTTGCTATATTTGTTTAGTTTATTAAATTCTAAATGGATCTCAAGAGTGCCACTTTCGATAATAGTAGTGGAGGCATTTGTTTTCTAAGTCTTCTAATCTTTAGCGCAAAATATTTTTAGTTTGTCTCAATCTGATAATTGCTATAGAAACATAATCCAAGTCTGTTATATTGTAACACAAATCAGGTAAATAAAATAAGAAATTTGCATCACGTTTCAAAACGGTTATATAAACTGAGACGTGAGTAGCCCGTGTAATGGGCTATATAAAATATTAAGGCCAATAACACTTACAAGTTATGAATGTGTATGTTAATAGTTCAATTAAAGGGTCAGAGATCAATTGCAAGTAGAAACGAGATAATTGGTGTTTCGTTGGAGTTCACATTTTTTATTTTCTAAGCTGCAGTATTTGAAAAAAGAAGTCTGGCACATTATAAATTACAAAGCAACAAGGAGGTTTGTTTTGGCACAATGCATGGATGTACGTGGAAGTGTAACAAATCTGCGATGCAACGGAACAATAAATGAAACGCAATTATAATTATGAGAAACTCGGATCTAACTAACAAACGTAATGAAACAGTGAGATAGCTATAATTGATTACCATGACATGAGAGAATATCGGCAACAACTTTAACTGGAAGAGATATGAAAAGGCAGAATTATGGCTTGATATATTAAACAGATTAAACATGCATAACAATGTCTCTTTGAAGTCCTCCAAACTGCAAATCAATATCTCGAATTGTTTCAGTTTTTCCATTACTTTGTAACCCCTCTGTATACAACAAATTAAATTTTCATTCTACAGCAGCTACACACCTTTTTCCCCAAACAAAGAATAATGTTAATTTTACGTCATATTCAAGTACCGAGGTTGTACTAACTGATAAAGTAACTTCAAAACTAAACTTTCGTTGACCAAATAGCTACTGTTCCCTTTACCAGCGATTTACAATCTGGAGAATTCTCGTTATCTAGCAATAAATTCATTGAAAAAAAAATCAAATTACATTCCTGAAATTTTACTGAGATTCAATAAGTCAATTGTAGTTATTAGGGTCACAGAATTTAATTTCGCTCTTTTAAAACTTCCGCTATTGTTCGTATTTACAGTAATAGTCCCACGACTAACAGGCGCCTTACGTTTTCAAACGCATTTTAAAAGTCAGAATCATTCCCCAACGAACAGAACCAAAAAATTTAAGAAATCCTGTAAAATCGTTACAGTCGAGAAATAAGTCATAATTGGTAAAAAATAGAAGTCAAAATCGTGTCATTCCACAAACAGCCATCACCCTCCCAACTCCAGCGCGAGGGTTGCTGTCGACTTGCTATTGTTTAGTGGCTCCTATGATACGTAGTAGTGCCGAACCACTATATTATTTGAAACTAACGCACAAATAGTTTATGGCTGTGTATTCTCTGAAACGTCTTGTAGGCCATTTGCCACCCGCGCTTTTACAACGTACCACCGAGAAACAAGTATAAATTGTGCACAACCGTTGTGCAGGTAAAGCGCAGTTTTCCCCCTCCACCCCGTATTTTGATAAGGGGACAAAAAGAAGCGCAGTAGTTTGTAGAAAACTGTTCCTTTCGTTGAGACCTTTAATTAGCATACAATGAGAGATTAAAAAAATTAATTTTTAACCCCCCCCCCCTCAGGCCCTGTCGCTCCCTGATCTCGAAAAAGGGTCACACGGGAAAGTTATAGTTTGTACAAACCAATTTATTTCGATGAGACCTTTCATTAGAATGCCATGAAGGGTAGAACGTGTGTTAACCCCCCCCCATTTCCTAAAATTGAACTTGGCACCACTAAAGGCATGCGTATGCAAAATCGGAGACCAATTGGTTGTCATATGTAAAAGTTATGCACGTTTTACTTTCAAAAACAGCATATCAGGAAATAATTCAAGGGGGGGACAGCGAAATTTGATGACCGTCGGGCACACCTTCAAGGTATAAGCTACCTACTACAAAAAATTCCAGGACTCTAGGGCCATTCCCCTAGTAGTAGTTCAAAACGGTAAAAGTGGGTCCGGATGGACGGACGGACAAAACGTAAACAATAGCACATTTTTTTTAATTCTTAAAAAATGCGCTATTGTACAAACCAATACGTTGACTAGTTGGCGCCACAATGAAGGGTAATGAAACCGGCGGCGGCGTAGCCGCAGCTCGCGCCGTTGGTAGCGACTCGGAATGCCAACTCATCGCCGAAACCAACCGACACAGTGGTTGTAACAATAGCATGTAAAAATTTATTTATTGTTATTAATTAAAACAAATATAAACTAATATATACAAAAACTGCGGGGGGGGGGGGGGTCGTTTCTGTAGGTTCAAACAATGCCGAAAATGAGAACGAGCCACCCTGTAATTAAAAAATTACTTGTTGTCGTAATTTAAGTTTAAGCATTGAAAATAACAAGAATTTGTCATTTTAATGTCAGTTTTTTAATTGTAAATTTAGAAATTGTTTAAGTCATTTAATGGTATTTGTTGTACTTAGTATCATAAATGTTGGCACCGAGGTTGGGACGCATAAGGAACATTTAATCGTAATTTAGACGTAAATTAAAAGTTTTATCTTGTCAGTTGTTTATTGTTTTGTAAAGCGTTATCGGACAAATTAATTGGATTTATTTACTAACAACGCCATGTGCTAGATAACCAATGTAGGTGTTTGGGGTTCGGCCGATGGCGGTGGGAATAGCGAGCGATGGCGGGAAACAACGTAATGGAACTTATGAATGGAGGTGGTATAAATACGGAAAATAGGAAATAAACGACTCTGTTTTTTTGGGTCGGTTAAAAAAGCGTATGTCATTGCTGCGCTAAATTATTACGAGCAGTTTTTGCCGTAAGGTTTTACGCATGCGGTTCCGCAGTTAAGGAGCCAAAGTCGTTGTCCAGTTTTATTAAAGTGTCGTTTAATTAAGATTTTTATATCACATATCACATCAGTCATTATCATTATTTGTTAACTGCATCAAATAAGTTATTGGATTACATGTTAAACAAAATGTGAGTGTAAAAGCTATCAGCTTTGTGTAAACTAGTAAAGATACATCATTTATCGCGATCCCATGTCCGGACCAGATAATTTAGAAACCGAATCAATTTTTATGGTCATCGTTTTTCATTTTTCCGAACATCCCTGACTACAGGGACGTCAGAGGAGGACTGCTCCGGCTTGCTTACTACTCTTCTCTGCTACTGGATACCAACACTTGTTTACTATTTCTGGTTATATACGTAGGCAATTCACATGTACTATCACTGACAAAATTAATGGTCGTAGGATGCCTGACCCGTAGGAAAGTAGGCCACATGTACTATCACTGACAAAATTAATGGTCGTAGGATGCCTGACCCGTAGGAAAGTACCATGTGATTTAATTTAGTTACGTTTCTAAATGTGGAAGGAATACTTTGTTTTAAGATATTTTTAGTGCAAAAATGTTTGTCAGATAAAGAAATGCTATGATGAACCCTCTTATTGTAATACAAAGGGCATGAAAAATGTATCGATTCCTGCGTACTTCTTGACATTAAAAAATGAGAGAATACAAACTACGTTAGAAATGTTATCTATATATCCTCTTGCGGATGTTGATATCGTATCACATGTTTTTAAACATTTTATATTCACATTTATGTAAAACTAACTTGTGGTTTTATATTTCAGAGCAGTCCGGTGCCAGACCTTAAAGCGGACGAAGGCGTCAATAATGTGAGTGACAATAAGGTCCAGGATCAGGTACAGTCCAACATTATTTCAACAACGCATGTCTGTTCTTCACTAAATTAACGGTAAATTTTTATGCTGGCTGTAGTGTTAGATCATGTAATCTATTGGGGTAATTGCTTAGTCCGGTTTTTATACTGCATACGGGGTGTTTCTGATCTCCAGTAGACAATGGAAAGTTTACAACAATGTTTAGTTGCACAATAATCGACATGCTTAACATACATCTAAAATGAGAATATACCTACTACAAGAGATCAGGAACATCGGAGATGGTGTTCTTGTGCAAGGTTTGGTCAAAATTTTAGTTTTTTCTGCAAAATATCCTTCAGTCAATTTTTGCTCTCTTGACATTAGTCATTTTTTAACGAACCTATTCCTCCTTCGATATTTTCTTTCAACGTCTATTCCTATCACCAAATTGAAAAAAAACATGTTTTGGTTGGTGTTATTACAAACCTGAATCATGCATCAGAAACAAAGTTGCACCAGCAGAGAACGTACAGGGTGGCCAACTAAGAATGCGAGGTACTGTATCTGAGAATGTATCCATCGTAGTAAGTAAAAAATTTATTACTAAAACGGCCACGAGCAAAACCTGGAAAATGTCCGGTCTTTGAAGTTGACGATAATCTGAACAATTTTTGTTTGACAATTTTTCCTGTATCTCTAAAAATGAAGTGGTGGGGGGTATTCAAAGGTTTCCGCAAAGAACACTCTGTATCTTCGAAACGGCTGAGCCGATTTAAACAAACTCGGGTTAGTTCAAAAGAGCTATTCTTCAGCTACAAATATTATACTATTTGAAGTTTTGTTAGTTTCACATATCACCGCTTGAGGGCTTTTTTCGATATTCCCACAGGAATAGTTAATTTTCTCAAAAAAATTAAATGCATTGGTTCGATTTTTTTTCATGAAAAAGTAGCTAAATGATGCCTAAACAAGTTCGCGAAAACAGCATCTCGATATCTTGAGATATATATATATATATATTTTTATATCGTGATGGCCAGCATTTCGAGCATTTACGGCGGCATTAAAAGCTTCCTTTTTGAAATCGATCCACCTTAGGGCCACAAATTATATAATAAAAATAATTCCGAAAAAATTAGCTTAAAAAAATAAAATTTTGAGGGTATAAAATTTTCTTTGGCCTAAATTTTAGGTTAGGAACAAGATATCGAGATGCGGTTTTCGCGAGCTTGTTTAGGCATCATTTAGCTACTTTTTCATGAAAAAAAAATCGAACCAATGCATTTAATTTTTTTGAGAAAATTAACCATTTCTATCTATCTATATGAAACTAACAAAACTTCAAGTATTTGTAACCGAAGAATAACTCTTTTCAATTAACCCGAGTTTGCTAAAATCGGCTCAGTCGTTTCGAAGATACAGGGTGTTCTTTACGGAAACCTTTGAATACCCCCCCTCCACTTCATTTTTAGAGATACAGGGAAAATTGTCAAACAAAAAAGGTTCAGATTATCGTCAATTTCAAAGACCGGACATTTTTTTGTTGGGTTAATATAGCGGAATTCACAGAAACATCACTATTTTAGATTCCAGATTGCAGTTACGCCCCCTAGCGGCCATTGCAGAAACTTAAAAATATTTTCCAGGTTTTTCTCGTGGCCGTTTTAGTAATAAATTTTTTTACCGCAAGCCTCTACGATGGATAGGTTCCCAGATACAGTACCTCGCATTCTTATTTGGCCACCCTGTACAAATTCCAAATTATGTTATATTTTGATCAAACCTCATCCAGCGCAAGTTTTGCATGAACATTTTTAGTCGGGGTCAAGGTAAACAAATTCTAGAAAAGTGTCATTTGTTTATTATAGAAACTACATTGGCAAAATGCATAGTATGTACTGTATAATCATCGCGCATTTGCACACTTCATTTTTGTTTAATTTTATTAGAAAGAGAAGTGGTTAAATGTCCCAACAATATAATGTGAATTAAGGAAGTTCATTTAGCGTATACACAATCAGAAGACTGGACATGTTTTTATTATTCAGCTACAGTATTAAGAAAAATCAAGCAGTTCATTAGATTATTAATGGACGTCTATAAAATTCCAGTCTCCTGGATAAAAGACGAGTGCGAGAGCGCGTCAAATAGCAATTGCATTTCTTATTTGCTCTATATCTCATCATATCACAAAAGGTCCACTAAGTACATAACTGTCAATTAATACTTACTATTTGTCCGTTGACAATAATAATAGCCCATTTAGTTCAATTTCTTATTGTAATCCATTTCGAGTAGCATATTATCATGGAGTGCTCTAATCATTATTACGGCGCATTTTGACCCAATGACCCAGTTTGGTCCAATGATCTGGCTTACTTGGGACTCACATGCTGTTCACTACAAGCAATCATAAATTATTGAAACAATCCATTTCGAACGTTAGGTTTTTCAAGGCAACACCGAATTCCATGTAGTCTCTTTTATAGGGGATTCCATACGCATACGACCAAATCGTTATGGTGAGTGGTTACGTTACTCATTTTTGGTGTACAGACTCCATTTTTTATTGACGATTCTCATGGAAATCATATTTCGATCCAAGTCGAGTAACTTGAGCGCATTTTCCATGCATTGATTAGTACTTCCCAAAAGGCGATAGCTGCGCGCCATATTTTTCTTTACTAGAAGCATCTATGGTGAAAATGCCAAAGACATGTCTCCATAAATAAGACAGTTTTGGCATTGCGCATGCGCACATCTGATTTTTACAATATGTCTTTACTCGTGTAATCTATTTCATGTCTACTTCATAACATAACATAACATTGTCCGGTCGCGGGCGGTAAAGTAAAGGGAAGGGCGAAGTCTAAGTCGAGTAGCGCGGGAGCTCAATTTCCCGTGGGATGAATTCACATGCTGCTGAGGAAGGGAAATTAGCCGGAGGAAGCCGGTGCCGACGCGCGCTCGCCATCATGGTCGCTGGTCGCCGAAGTTCTCCGGCAACGCCGCGAGAGATAACAAAAAGACGCGTATCATAGCGCGCCATCTGCAACTCGCGTTCAGAAACAACGAGGGTCGGGCGTCACCCAAGGTCCCGGCAGTCATACACGTACGATCTGAAAACGTCTGTACTTTGGGAGTGACACCCATACGATAAATAGTTAAATAAAGAAATACGCATGTGCACATGATCAACGCCCCCCCCCCCACCGTCTATGGTATTGATTAATTTTAACTGTAAAAAAAATGATTAATGAATTTATTTGAGCAGGTACAAAAAAAATAAAAAAACAAATAAAAAGTTGACGAGAGCGTATTTTCCTCCTAATAGTTAATGCTGTCCCATTCGCTTCATGAAACGCTTTTAAATGCTTTCGTAAATAGCATTGCGCATTGTCTACATTAGAAATTTTATTGAATACCTTCATAAATAAAACATACCAGCATGCGTTAACAGTAATTTTGAAACCGGTATTACTTTTAGTTTCATTCAAGGTGCCTACATATGATATTTCGTTTAACTCCTTTCATAAATAAGAAAGTTGCCATTGCGCATGCGCAAAACCAAATTTTAAAACTGGTGTTAGATTTGGTTGTATTCCAAGTGCCTATGTATTAAATTTCATTTAAATGCTTCAGTAAATAATGAAGTTGCCATTGCGCATGCGCAAAACTAAATTTTGCAACTGGTGTTAGATTTGTCTTTATTCCAAATGCCTAAGTATAAAATTTCATTTAAATGCCTTCATAAATAAGGAAGTTGGCATTGCGCAAAACAACATTTTGAAAATGTCGTTAATTTTACTTATATTCGTAGTGTTTACATAATATAAAGTTTCATTTAAATATCTTCATAAATAAAAAAGTTAGCATCGCACATGCGTTAAACCAAATTTTGGACACTGCGCATGCGCAAAACCAAAAAATATGGGTATGCACGGAATCCTTGAACCAAGCCCTTTCAAATCGTTCTATATCGGTTCAGTGGTTTAGAAGGAGTACGTGTGACGGACACACGGACGGACGGACATCATAGTGCAGCCAATAGCGATTTTTCACTTCAGGAAAATACTCTAAAAACACATTCTCATTGCCACTTTCTGAGCTCTACAAGATAACGGTAAGGGATTTTCAATACAACGTTTCGTTTCGGAGAAATCGTCATCAACTTTATTTTTTTGTATGGCTCCCAAAAAAATTACACACTGTTTTGAGTAACAGTTTTTAATATGAATGCAACGCCCTAGTCTTGCGAGAACACGTAGTGGACAAGTTTTCCCGATAGGTATTTTCATACGATTAGGATGTTGTGCTCAGGTGCACCACTCTGTTGAAACCAACACAGTTGCCAACTTTTGTTTTTTTTAATAAAAAATGAAATTCAATACAGTGTGTACTTTTTTTATGGGCGATATAAATAATAAAGTTGATGATTTCTCCGAAATGAGACGTTGTATTGAAAATCTGTCAATGCTATCGTGTAGAGTTCAAAAAGTGGCAATAAGAGTGTTGGGCACATTTTGGTTTTTCCGGCGTATCTTCGGAAGTAATCGGAATGTTCTGGTTTCCTTTAAAGCATGATAATAACTGTTTAATTGCGCAGCTTTTCTCTAATTTGGCCATCGCCGTATCTTCTATGGTTTCGAAGATACCCATGATAGACATCCTTATTTTAGACACAGTTTATAAACCAAGTTTATTTCAACCTGAGCCAAGTTTATTTCGAGGTTTAATTATTATTTCTGAAAGGTAAATAACGATGTCTCTGTAGTCGGTCATCAAAGCTAAATCCGTGAGTCTCTGGTGTCCGGTTCGGTTCCTCGGGTAGCTATTGATTCGTTTTAAGAACCCAAATGTTTGTTCAGGCCTCGCAATTGTGACTGGAGTCAATTACTAGCAATTATTTGATATTAGAGAAGAGCAGCTCAATGCTCATTGCAGTTGTCGTAAGCCTATAAAACATTCACAGCAACTTTTTGTCTATTTTGTTTCCACAAACCATGCTCTGCTCTTAAAGTTTCAGGACCTTCGACCTCTATCTGCAAAAATAAACATTATGCAATATTGCTATTTCCGAGTTAAAAAGCTGGCATTTAATTTTCTACTGATTTATCAATTTGCTACTGATCTTCTCACTCTTTGTGTGTATGAGGAGAGTATGATCCCTGTGACCCACCCCCTTACTTACTTGCTTGACAATATTTTTCGTTACTAGAAGCATCTATCTTCAAATTTTAAATAAATATCTATCAAGTAGGTATTGCGGTGTCTGCGCATGCGCACATCTGATTTTTACAATGTGCGATATGTTTGCCTTTACTAGAAACGTCTGTGATTAAAATTTCAAAAAAATCTATAAATGAGAAAGTTAGTATTGCACGGTTTGCGCACATTTGATGTTTACTGTATGCGATAAGTTTGCCTTTAAGGACTGTTCAGAGTGGGAGTGGCGAGCGTCGCGTCGATCGTAAAACACTCTAACGCAGTGGTTCCCAAAGTTGACAGGGCTCCGACCCATCTAACAAATTTCCAATCTTGGCACTCACCTCTTAACTTTCTTCCGTAATTTAAGTTTATTCAAATTTTTGGGAATTATAAATAGAAGAATGACGCATCAAATTTCTCACTTCTTTTTTAGCACATTTTTGCAAATTTATGGGGTCGGTGACATCTGGGCGCCATCCTTGAGCGTGTGGTGATTTTTCAGTTTTTTTCCATCTTCTACTGCGGTTCGGTCTGATGATTTTAAATTGGTCTCGTCAGAAAGATCTTGTAAACGCGCACAACTCCTGCGTGACGAACTTATGTTTTTTTGTTTCTAAGGGCGAAATTAACCACTTTTTCAAGGCGCGCGTCTTCTGTATTTGGGTATCTACCCAAAAATGTCTACCAGCTCTCAGGCTATAGGGTCTGTACAAGATGCTGTGAGAAAAGCGCTATTGTCATCCGCATACTTGTTGATGTGCCCAATCATTCATCGTTCACTTATAGACTTCGAAACTGCCAGACAGAAAGTAACGGGTTTTTTTATGTAAAGCTTTCTGGAGACCGTAGAGAGGGGATGTGAAAGTTTTCGGAAAAATAAAATAATATTACATTTCAACTTAAATGTTAGTTTGACTACCTAATGCATAGCGATGTCGGATAGGTCAGCCAACTCATCGCAGCAAGTTTCGTTTTCGGCTTGTACATGCAGAGTTTGAATTCATTTAAATTTTAATGTTGAGCAAGTATATGGATATCCCTCTTCCTGCTTCAAATCCACTTACCGACATTAATTTTCTAAATTACAGGTAAACGTTAATGAAGTAATCACTATCATCAGATCTTTATCTTAAGAGCTATTGCTCTACCTTGTTCGTGATTATGTTGAGGTTTGCATCAAGGAAGGAATTATGCAGCACTTACGAAAAAAGTTACAGCAAAAATTCCCTCAACACTTTTAAACGTTTGCCGTTTATTGTGTTTTTAAATCCTACACACTTGTTGCATTTTGATCCTTGAGTAGCTAAAACTCAAGCTTGCTCAGTTTTAGCGGCCATTTAGGACCGGAGAGACCCAAAACCTTGATTTGAACTCCAATATGATAGAGGATACGATTAAATCAATTCCCTACAGTCCCTACAGAAAAAAAATTGGGTTCGTTAGCAGTTATGCTTATTACTTGGGGCCATTCTTTCTTATGTGCACGTGTTACAAAAATGGACTGCGCATGCGCAAAAACAATTTTCTTATTTGTGGATCATTTCAAGCGAACTGAAAACACACGTTAAATAGTATATTGAAAGACAAGTGTTACAATGCGACTTATTGTAATACGACTATCTTGTGGCACGAGTGGCGACGCGAAGCGTAGCCACGAGTGTCCGCAAGATAGGAGTATTACAATAAAGCATTGTAACACGCGTTTTTCATACTATTTTTTCTATTTCGGTGCTTTAATTTAATTAAAAAAATCATTATCAGAAACTATAGGGAACATTAGAACTAACATGTTTTATGTTGGGAACACTTTTTATGCCGTTAAGTTTTAGGTTGGCAGCGTAGTAAGGGTGACATTTTGAAGTTCAAATATGGAAGTACTTAACGAAGTACCTACTTGTACTTACTAGTAACTGCCAACTTAAGAGATGAGTTATCAAAAAAAAACGACTATAATCACTGTCTTTGTACAACTGTTTCGGCCGAAAACAGTTGTACAAAATCATCATTGTGACACCGAAATAGAAAAAAATGAATTGTGTATACTTAGAGCCAACTTTCTTAATTGTTGGAGGGGGAGGGGGGCAGGGCCGGCCCAAGGGGGGGGGCGAGGTTAGGCGCAAAGGAGCAATAGACGCCTCGGAAAGGATTGCCGAAAATGTGCATTTGCATTTTATAAACAATCTAAATCTAAGTGCACTAAAAAACAATTGCTTGCGTTGAGAATATAGTAAGGAGGTTGTTTTTGTTTTATTAACTCAGTGGTGATATTCACAATCTTATTAAAAGTTTGATAATTATCTTCAGGATTGTTGTGTAAATTACGGAAGCTCAAATAAAGTAAAAAATACGAGAAAATGTTCTCACAGAAAAAGAAAACCATCCGGTTGAGAGAATCATAAACGGGGGACAAAGAGCGAGATAAGAAAAAGAAAAAAATTCGTTAAGCCGCTTGTCTGCAAGAGTGCATTATCAAATTTGTTTTTTCGATTTTAATAGCCCTCATGGACCTTTCATGCCTTAACGAGAATAAAAACATGAAATAATTTTTAATTTCTGATCGAATGACACCAATACCAAGTCTGTAAGTGGTGTAGTTCCGCAGCTTTTGTGACTCAGACAGACAGACATATCAAGACTCAAGACGCAAAAAATGAATTTGCAAGCCCCTCCCCCCCCCTATAATGAGCGCAAGATCATGTCCGCCTCACGGCGCCGCATATGCGTGGGCTGGCCCTGGGGGGGGGGGGGGAATTTTAAAAGGTGTTAATCATTTTGGTATAAAATGGGTGAACATGGTTAACACAGATCGCGTCCTGTAATTTTGGGATCAAGCGACTGATTACTGCAATTACTGAAAAATTTGAATAAAAAAAATTGATTACAATTTCGTACTAGAGGGTTTTCGGGGTCGCTATTTACAAATCCGCTGTGAAAATTGCAAACTTTAATATAGCGGCGTATTATGCAAAATATTTGAATTTTTAAAGAAATGATTTGCAAAATTCAAAATTGCGGATCCAATATGGCGTCATATTATGCGAAAAATTTGAATTTTTAAAGAAACGATTGGCAATTTCGTACTAGGGTTTTTTTTTGGGATTGCTGATCACAAATCAGATGTCAGGATTGCAAAATTCAAAATGGCGGATTGAATATGGCGGCGTATTATGCGTAATATTTGAACTTTTAAAGAAATGATTTGTGAAATTCAAAATTACGGAACCAATATGACGGCGTATTATGCGAGAAATTTGAATTAAAAAAAAATTACTTGCAAATTCGTAGTAGCGGGGTCTCCGATTACGAATCCGTTGTCAGAATTGCAAAATTTAAAATGGCGGATCCAATATGGCGTCGTATTACGCGAAAAATTTGAATTTTTAAAGAAATCATTTGCAATTTCGTACTAGGAGATCAGAATTGCAAAATTAAAAATGACGGATCCAATATGGCGGCGTATTATGCAAAAAAATTTAATTTTAAAGAAATAATTTGCAAAATTCAAAACTGATCCAATGTGGCAGCGTATTATGGGGCAATTTGAATAAAATAAATGATTTGCAATTTCGTACTAGGGGGTTTTTGGGGTCGCTGATTACGAATCCGTTGTTATAATTGCAAACCTCCAAATGACGGATCCAATTTAAATTAAGGGGAACAATAATAAAATCTTAGAAAGATTGCTAAAACGTCAGTGATATTAACTAATTAACTGATAGCAAAGTTTTTGTTCTAGGGAGAATGTATAGGAACTATATGACTATAAAGGTAATCGAAAATGCTATTAAATACAGGGTGTTATTTTTTCCGGTCCATAGAAAAATAATAAAAACATTAAGTTGAAGATGGTTTCTCAAAGACGAAACGTCGCAGTGAAAATCTGTGGGCATCGTGTTGTAGAACTTAGACGTTCTTATGAGGAAGTGTTATTTGTTTTTTTCAAACAGGGGTAGAAAAAAACTAGTTCTACCACTACTTAGCATCTCAGTTTGAGGGCAAGCAGCAACCTAGGCGGTTGGCTTAGGTACACACCTTTGTACTTGGGAGTGGCGATTGTAACTATCCCTTCGTCTCTCCCATTTTAGTCGACCACGCTGGTTACAGCGGGTACAGTAGTCAAAAACAAAAAGGGCTTATGTAGTGATAATAATCAATGACAAAGCGAATATGGGGGAAGTGTAATTAGTCAGTCTTTTGACGAGTCCATATCACAAAGCCTAGTCAATTTGGAGATCCTAACTGGCTCATCGCGTTAACCTTTGAAAGTTTTTGTAAGGTTACTACAATTGATAATTTAAAACTCTTTTTATTTCTATTACACTGAAAGTCAATTCGAACAAAGAGGGTTATCAGCGCAATTAATGAGTGAAATAAGATCATTAATTGTTGATAAATAATCAATAGAAGTCCTTTATTAATAGGGAGATTTATTATTCTTGCGGCAAACATTCTCATTTCCTTTGAAACTTCAACTTTCATATCTACGTTAATTAGAATATCTAAGTAGCCTTTTCCTTCATTTCGTAATTCTACAAATGACTACTTTTGAATGTCCTGGCACTTAATGACCGTGATATTGGCACGTATAACGAATGATATAAAAATCAGCGACCTTGTTTGATTTCCTGTCTATACCTTCTTACTTTTTTAAACGCACCGAATTGGGTATTTATAGATTTAAAACAAATAGACAATGTACATACGCAATTTTTCTAATATTAGACATCTTTAAAAGTCTGCTCTAGTTAGATTTGATGCTTGACCGCTTCCTTTCTCTTTCAATGTGTTTTTTATCGGTTAACAGTGCACTAACAAAAGATTCTGATTAGATTTTTGGAATTGAATCCTCGGCGTCGTCCACAACGGTATCAGATATGGATTCGATTGTTTCCACTCCATCGGAGGAAGGTAAAAATCTACCGTCAGTCAAGGACCTTGTGAAAGCGATTGAACACAGTTCCCCCAACCAGAGTCAATTGTATAAAATGAGCTCCAGTCCGATTGATATAAAAAATAAGGAAAACGCCCCCATAGCTTTAAGTTATGATCGCATAAAGAAATTTGAATCTGACTTTGCGAAGACATTACAACAAAGTCTTATCGCTCGTTCGGAGGGAAACATTTCGGAGCTCAACTTTAACGAGGACGAAGTTGAAGATAAACAACAAATTTCTCGGTTTCAAACTTACGTCAAGAACATCCGAAATCGGATAAAGCTCCTGCGCCCCAAAAAGGATCGACTTTTCGACTGTTGTCTTCTGGTAGCTCTTAATAGAACTACGCCATATGTCAAAAGCAAATATCCGACCACAGTAAGTGTATTCAACCGCTGAAAGTGTGCCTTAATCTTTCAATTTAGGTGGATGAACCGTATCGGATAGCCGACTTGTGTTTTCCCGAGGTCGAAAATGGTTCCATGGATACAAGCGTTGAGGCACAGTGTTACTCGTTAATCATCACCAACGAGCACGGTGAGCGTACGTTCGGATACTGTCGACGCGTATTACCTGAGGATTCAATCGCCTGCCTACCGCTCGCTTACTGTATCTTAAGCAAGCACAAAGCTCCAGGGTTTTACCGCAGGGTTCTTGAAGAATTAGAGCATCGGCACGGTTACCCCGATAAGTTTATAAACGCTTTCATCCAGGAACTTTACATGTGTAAATTTCCGATGCCCGGCGATACGATGGTTATTGACTGTTCGAAAGTAGTTAGTAGTTCCGGTTGCGATAGGATCAGTCTTCGTGTGCCCAGTGAATTTAATAATAGTGATATTAGTACAAATGACAAAGACAAAGATATCTGTGATAATTTAAGTAATAACAGTTTGGGGAAACAGGAGGAGAACGAATTAGATTTAAATAGTTACGTTATTGTTTGCAATAGGGGTGAATATGGTACTTTAATGAGAAATAGTAAGTTGGAATCTAGCATCAAGTCTAATCGTGGAACATCTGCTATTATCAACTGTAAGTATACTACTACAACGAACCTCTTCTGGTCTCCGAATTATTACCTACTCTTCTTGTTACATTTTATTTGTAGATCCACCTGAAATGCCTGCCGGTAATCTGACGAGATCGTCAAGTTCGCCAAACCTATTAGAATCTATCGAATCTTTGCCATCGGAGTTAGTACTTATGCGCCCCATTGATTCCCGCCATGAAGAAAATGATCTCATGCTTCTAGGAACAACGTTAAAGATGCCAGTATTACAAAAAGTTTTCTGTTCCCTATTGCTCGAAAGGAAAGTCATATTAATCAGCAATGTTCTCAGGTTTGTATGACTTTTTACAGCGTTCCAAACTAGAGAGTACATATAAAATGCCACTTGTAGGAAATCTATAGATTCAAAAGCTTTTTTATAAACAACTAGCATTTGCCCGCGACTTTGTACCCACAAAAATATTGTCCTGTCTTAATTTATTCCCTGTTCCTGTGGGAATTTTGGGAAGTGCTTTCGGAGTACAAGTCTATCTTCTGCAGTTCCGACTGTAAAACGTAAAGTCCCGTTTTTTCCCGTTCCCGTGGGGATTTCGGGAAGTCAGAAACAAAAAATAATAACATCAAAAATAAGCGGGGAACTTCCAATACGCGACAGAAAAAAAAGCTGCAACTAAAAAGATGTATGTGTACAGCAACGCGATTGTTTATTGTCTCGCATAGTCACCATCGCCACGGTCATGGAATTATTGCCATAAGAAATACATTGCAAACTTCAAGGCAAAAATGCAAGGTTGATTCCCAAATGAAATACGTGTTTAGTATTACTGGTTTTGTCATTTTTTTCTCTCGAGTGACGTAAAAATCCAATATGGCGTCCATTTAAAATAAGGAAGTTGATGTCTGTCTATCTCGAAAACCGCCATTTTGAAAATTTTTTGCCTACACCATAGAGGAATTACAATAAGAGTTACAAACAAATAGGCTAATTTTCGGTCAGGAGATGCTGTCATCTGCTTTTTAAAGGGGTGTAACTAACCGTAAAAATAGAAAATTGTATGTTCATTAGCATGCCGATATGCGGTCCCCTCGTTCTGAGATGGCGCTATAGTTAGTCGAGGAGTCACTGATTACTTAACTTTAAAACAGAGCAACAATCATTAAATAAAATCCATTAATTGCGTTATAATTAAAAATTAAAGATATGTCTACCATATTTACACTTTACGGTTGGCAATATGGAATAATCATGACCTTGTTCTTGTGTTTACATTTTCCCAATTGCCAGACTTGGTCGTTTACTTGCCTTTAAAGTTAAGTAATCAGCGTTTCGATATAAGAGGATCGATATGCTTATTTAATGGGCATAAGGTCAGTATAAGCCCGTAAAGAGGACCTATTTAAAAGTGATACTTAATGTATGGGGCGATAGGGGCCAATATCTTCGACAGTAAAACAGCCAAGTCCAGCATTTCGAATTTCCCCCCAAATTTGACGTCACACTAATAGAGTCTAATACCATTTTACATACGCATGCCTTTAGGGGCAAGTAAAACTTTTGAAAATTGGAAAAGCGAGGGAGGGGGCAACCACACGTTTTACCCATTCATGGTATTCTAATTAAAGGTCTCAACAAAAGGAACTGTTTTCTACGAACTATCGCCCTTTTTTCTGACACTATCGGCCGGTTGCAGGAAAGCGAATTATAATCAAAATCCTAGATTATTTGCCAAATTTGAGTTTCAACAAGAATTTTGACATTTGATTGGCTGCCTGCTGCAATATAAAACCAATCAAATGTCTTAATACCGGATTAAACAATAATCCTGGATTACTTTTTTTGTGCAACTGGTCGTGAAAAAATTAGAAATTACTACAAACGAATTTTTGAATTTTTAAGAAATCTTTTTTGAATCAATATTGAATTTTTTCAGTGTTATATTTAAAAAAAACAGAATTTAATATGCTATTTTTAGATTGAAATATACAGGATATGCCATTTAAATAAAATTAAGTTAGATCCAATAACTTTTTTACCCGATAGTACTGTATAATTATTTATTTTGAAAACGGCAGATTATTTATCAATAATTTTCAAGAAACATTTTTTTGTTTCTGTTTTTATTAAGAATATATACGGTCATTCTGAAATTGAAAATTGTTTGATTTATCTCCGTATCTCTGAAGCAAAAATGTGCAAATTTTGATTTTACCATTGCAAGTTTGATCCAAAAAGAGCCCATAACGCCTATAAAAGTGTCGAAAATGGGACACCCTGTACATGAAACAGTATGTAAAATTCCAAAAGGAAAATAAAAAGTATTTTCATTTAAAAGAAAGTTGTTGCTTTTAACTTATTTTTAAGTATGTGCTTTTTTTAAACTTTAAAACTTAATACGATAAAATCAAAATTTTTGCTCAGGTAAGAAATACAGGGAAAACCACAAAATTGTTAATTTCAAAATGATTATCGGTCTGTATTATAAAGCCATACAGCATACTTAACTATGTTGTCAGCTAACAGTGTTGTTCAGACATGTGATTGGATGTTTTTTCAAACAATAACATTCTTAAGCCGGCCCGTGTGTCGCAATTGAGTTGAAGCTGGGCTGCGGGTCCCTGGTTCGAATCCGGGTACGGGCATGGGTATTTGTAAATGTGTAGTGGGTTAGGTTGGTAGAGCAGCCTTAGCTGAAACCCCGCCCACTCAATACTAAAGACAACAAGCTAAAAAAGTATTCGTAAACGATTTACAAAAAACGCATTTCCACTTGCACTTGCATTTCTCATTTGTCAGATGCAACTTCTATTAAAATCGTAAAAATCCGGCCACAAATATAAAAGATAGCGTTGCAAATGTGCAATCCATTTTTGACGTGCTACTTCAATTTCAGTTTATAAGAAGAATTTCATTTCAATGCTTTCATAAATAAGAAAGTTGTCACTGCGCATGTGCAAACCTAAATTTTGAAACGAACGTTAGATTTTCCTTTGTTCCAAGTGCCTATGTATCAAATTTCATTTAAATGCTTCCATAAATAAAAAAGTTTGCAATTCGGTTTATAATTAGTCGAACTATGCGAAAAGAGCACTGTGAATTTTGAATCGATTCGACTCGACTTTTGGCATTGCGTATTATATGACTAAAGCTATGCCCACATTGAGTTTGAATTTGAAGTTAGACGACCGTTTTAGGATCGTCTAAGCCATTTTTTAGCAGCAAACAGTGATTTAACTTTTTTTGGAAGTATCTCTTTTTAACGCATTTTTTGCAAATTTATTTGTAAAACGGTGGCTTTTAATCTCACATTGGCCGGCGGGCTAGCTGGCTCGCAGCAAATGAGACCCTGTAGAAAATCGCTTGTAGAAAGATGAGGAGTGTACTTGTACCTACCGGGCCGCATAATTAACAATTCTTTAGGGACGGGGCTACATGATGTGGGGTCGGTGACATTCGGGCGCCATACCCGAGCGTGGTTTACTAACGTGGTGATTTTTCAGTTTTTCCTGCAGAAGAAGATAAAAAATCACCACGTTAGTAAACCACGCTCGAGGATGGCGCCCGGATGTCGCCGACCCCACATCATGCAGCCCCGTCCCTAAAGAATTGTTAATTATGCGGCCTAGTAGATACAAGTACACTCCTCATCTTTCTACAACTGCAGAAGAAGACTAAAAAATCACCACGCGGTTGCCTTTTGAAAAAGTTACTTTGCAACTTTCATGTTGCAATATAACAGGCTAATACTAATAGAAACTGGTCTACCACACAAAAATGCGCTGAAGTCCATTCGATCTCACACGATTTTTTTCTCATAACGTCATATTTAAATTCTGTTTACGTAGTTTCAAAATTTGGAAAATGGATATCAATAGTATGAACGGATGCGTAACATTAATTTCTACAAAAAAAAACTAAATAGACTTTGTTTGAAGTGAATAATCGGACATGAAGATTATTTGGAATTGTATCGGAAGTAAGTACGTGAGAAGTTTAAAAATTGGTTTGAAAATTCCAACAAGCAAACGATCAATTTATTAATAAACCTTATCTATAATGTGCGGTACAAATCTAGTAATTTTTATGCACTCGAATTTAAATAGGGACAATAAGTTTGTCAAAACCCTCAACAAATTTATTATTTAATGAACCTTCGATGCTTACTATTAATTGTTGTGTGCGTATTGGATTTCGTTTTGCACATTTTATAGAATTGCAAGTAGGTAATAAATTATTCGACAGAGTACAATCAATATATTTTTTTTCGGAATGCATCCTCCTGAAAGGTCGGGCAGTCAAGAAAAGTGAAAAATTCTTTGATTTATTTAAAGAGAATGTACGTAAATTTATCAGTTCAAGGTCAGACATTATAAATGAATTCGTAAAGCCGCAGATTTGAGTGGTTCATAAACGCGCTAATTCAGCTACCCAATTTAGTGATCTGTCCTACATAACAGGCGGCGCTGAATGAAAATTTTCCCACGCTTACATCGCCATCTATGTATGAGGTGTGTGAAAAGTGGTCATAAATTGTAGGTATAATAATAACAAAGATAGCCATGTTATCCTACTAAAATTTAAGACACCCTGTATTTAGAGAGCGCTTTTATTATAAGAGAGTACCTACCTTAAATAAAACTGTTGTGAGGTTTATCATAAATCGCCAGAAAATGTAAAGTAAAAACAAAACTGAATATCGCAAAGTAAGTTTGAGAAATTTTTACTGAAACCCCCTGTATATTTTTCAAAAATTGAATAGATCTTTTTTTTTTATTTCAAAAATAAATTTATAAAAAATGAATGAACAAATTCAAAACTTACAATCAGATGTAACCTACAAAAGCATTTTATTGTTACTCCTGCTTCCAATAGTAACATTACGATGCCTAGGCAATAAGACGAAGTATTTAAACACGTATTTATTTTTCAGCAAGCTTTCGTCATGCATAGAAGCACTTCAAATTATATTATATCCGTTTTCATGGCAACATACGATTATTCCCGTCTTGCCGAGAAGCTTGTGGGAAATTGTGGACACTCCAACGCCACTCCTATGTGGAGTACTATCTTCAGAAGTAATCAAAGATTTCGTCATCGAAAATGTAAGTGTAATATTGGCGATTAACAAGTCAATTTATCAAATTCTCTCTCTCAGGGTATTGTGGTTGATCTTGATGAAGGTACTGTATTATTAGAAATGGGCGACGAACACAAAATTCTTCCTACGTGCCTTATACATATACTAAAGGACGGATTACACTTAGCGTCAACTATAGCAGCGAATAACAGTGGTGCTCATAATATATTTTTAAGCGACGCCTTCCTACGAATTTTTATATATACTTGCGGTCACTATAAGATTTATACAAGTAGTGAAAATTTTGATGTAAGAATTGTTGCCTATTTTCAACATATACTTTAATTCAATTCTTACAGAGAGCAGCATTTATTCGACACGGTCGTCAGAAGAGGAGAATACGTGAATTCTTAAAATGGTTTACCGAAACAACAATGTTCCATCACTTCATAGATTTGGCATCAACTAAATCGCCAAGTTTGGATCTGTTCGATCAACGTATTCAAATATATACTTCCCAATCGGCCGGGGAGATTCTGAGTAAAATGAAAAGCAAAAACACATATCGGGGATTGCTCAGCCCAAGTCTGATAAAATTTCAATAATACAATCTTATTGACTGACTGGTTTTCTAAAGTTAAATATTCGTTTATGAATTACTTCGATAAGCAAATAGTACTTTTAGATGTAAATTATTTTTGTATGTTAATAAATACCTTAATAGTTAGCTTGTTCATTTAAGCTTCCTAAATTAATCAGCAATAAAACAATTCACTAAACATAATGGCACAGGCACAGTATATCTGTGATAATGGTAATACAACACAAAATAAAACCGCGTAATAAGGACGCTAAGTTTAAATGAAATAAAGACTTTAATTATACTTCGTGCATGAAGTGTGTGAAGTTGCAGCGCTTGAGGGCGGTTAAAAGCGCTCACGAGCGGAAAAAGCACTCGCGAGCGAAAAGAGCTTGCAAACGGAAAAACCGCTCGTGGGCAGAAAAAGAGCGCTCGAGTATCGAGCACCAAGCGGCCGCTCCGAAAAGTGCCCAGCGCTGGTACAAATAATGTTTTTCACATATTACTCAAATTTACGATTTTAAATGATGAAAATATGATCTTAGGTCACAAATCGTCGTATATAAACTGCACATGGTCTTAAGTTCTAAGATATGGTCGTTTATTTCCCACACAAAGAAATTTGACAGTTGCTGTTTTTAGCAAGTTAAAAAGACTTAAAATTTAAAATACAAACAAGGGTTGCCCCCTCACTACCACGAGAGTAGCTCTAGGGTCTTCATTGATTACAAGGCAGAAAAAATAGCTACTGAAAATCTTCCAGGCTAGGTACTTGCTTACTTTCTTATTTCTTTTCCAAGTTGCATTTTACAATTACATTATAATCACTCGACTTGTAGGATAACATCGGGGAATTTTATTTCTCTCTGTTTCGTAGCGATAGCAGATAGTCTCTAGCGAGCAGCTAAGACTAAGTCAACCTGCCGTAAAAGCTAACTAGCGGTTGAACCATACAATAAATAACAAAATATATATCAATAATTTTACATTGATATTTAAAATATTGCGGCCCCCATCTTCACGGCAATGAAGGTTTTTTTAAGGATGTTATGCAACGGAAGCCGACTTCACACCAGGGTCTCACGGCGAAGAGTACACATATTATGGTTAGAATCAGATTAGATGTCAGACGGCATCAGCCACCTGTCTCATCATATAGAGTTGTGTTTGGAAATTTCGAGATCTCTCCCATCCCAAATCATGGTATATTACGCCCCCATATAAAACAAACAAAAACCCCTCGACCCATGGCACAAGCCGATAACATAAATCGTAATTAATTGTATTGAGTTCAAAGTCACCTTCATGCGAATTATTAAAGTTGTAAAACGCTACAATGTGGAAAAATTGCATTCATTGCGTAACCACACAAAATCTACCCTGCTGAAAATTCCACCCACCTACGTACCCAAAATCTACCTACCCTAAATTATGTAAACACCCTGCAAACTAATCTTAAATCATTTCCTAACGAATGATAGATCTAGCTCTGTCACAACAATTAGGCGAAAGGAAATGATTGCACAAAATTTGCAATCTCTAAAACGTAATTGAAGAAAATGTCTACGTACGTATGGTAAGTACAAGGCAAATAAACAAAGCTGTCCCATTAGGGTAATTATACAACCCTAACTTAACAATAACGGTTAAGTACACAAACACAATAGGGCTAGACAGGACATAATTGTTATTTCAGTACGGACTATGTAAAGTTGCCTATTGTTAAATCGACTGTTCTAACAAAAATTGTCGCATTCCAACGTAAATTGCGTTAGTCATTGTGAGCACACAAAAAATACTACTTTTCCTATCCAAACGAAACTTGTAAAGGTACCATTGAACTTTTGTAATTGCCATTTGCGGTTTGAACAACCCTGATATGGACGTCTGACTTATGGACGCCATACATGTCGATTTTATAACCCAAGACTTCCAGAACAGGTTCGGTAAAGTTGCACTTTACACAAATAACATAAAATTGTTCGTGTTGTTAGTTGTTTTTATTTTACTTTTGCAAAAAAAAATAAAATAAAAATATATAAAATGAAAAAAAAACTAAATAAAAATTAAATTAAATAAATTTAAAAAAATTAAAAATAAAACAAAATATTTAATCTGAAAAAAAAATAAAGTTAAAATATAAAAATGTTAGAATTATGATGGCTGATGGCCCTTGATAATAAAAAAGTAAAATGGCAACGCAACAACTATTTGATAAATGTGGCAAGCTGACTGGTCAAGTATGCGCGATTCTGCACAACTGGGTGCGAGGCTCTTAAGTTAAGGCAGTTAAGTTGCGTACGCGCTCGAATGACGATCGTAAGGGATGCTAAGTGGAGCATAAGAACACTAATACTTGGCTTGTTGGGCTACTGTAAAACCCCTGGCAGATAGCCGGATATATTCCTAGATTTCCGAAATTCCTAATGAGCAAGAGTCTATGTAGGGCATCGAAAGTATTAGTGAGTTTGGCGCAATAGCTCTAGAAGTGTGTCTCGCACGTGTAGGTATGGTGCTGGCCGTACTTTGTTGTTGGGCCGTAAGATGGCCAGGCACGCTGAATGCAGCCATTCCCCTTTCGACCGTAGAATTATATTACGGAGAGGCGTCTTGATCAAAGATGAGTTCACGGTAGATTTGTCGCGTGGTGATTTCTGGCCCATATAACATGCGGTTCGGTTTATATAACTCGCGACCCTTCCCACCGCGCCATGTGTAGCGACCGCTGTTATTTGAAATTTCTACCCCCTTTATCACGGTCACTGCGTTAATTCAAACTAAAAATAAAATAAAAAAATTAAACTAAATAAAAAAAAGTACAAATTGTGCACAACCCTTGTGCAGGTAAAGCGCTACGCAATTTCTTCCATAAACAAGTAGGTTGGCACTGCACATCCTACGCAAAACCAATTTGGAAAATGGCGCTATATTTGCTTTTATTCTAAGTGGTTATGTATCAAATTTCATTTGAATGCCTCCATAAATAAGAAAGTTGGCACTGCACATGCGCAACACCAAATTTTGAAACTCCTGTTAAATTTTCTTTTATTCCAAGTGGCTATGTATCAAATTTTATTTAAATACCCAATGGTTATATTTCTTCCGAACGTCCCAATCGTCCTTTGTAGGTACTTTCATTTAACAATTGACACACAATTCAGGATTTATAACCGATCACGACAAGCGATCGAGGAGGAAGACTATGGTTAGTATATATTAATTCCTTTCGTTGAGACTTTTCATTAGAGTACCATGAAGGATAAAACTAGTTCCCCCCCCCCCCTTCCCCTTCCGCCCCGCACTTTGATAAGAGGACAGAAAGAAGAGCAGTAGTTAGTAGAAAACTGTTCCATTCGTTGAGACCTTTAATTAGAATACAATGAGAGATAAAATTAATTTCGAACCCCCCCCCCCCTCAGGCCCCGTCGCTCACTGCTCTCGAAAAAGAGTCGCACGGGAAAGTTATAGTTTGTACAAACCCATTTATTTCGATGAGACCTTTCTTTAGAATACCATGAAGGGTACAACATGTGTTTACACCCCCCCCCCCAAACACAATTTCCTACAGTTTAAATCTGAGACCAATTGGTTGTCATATGTAAAAGTTATGCACGTTTTACTTTCTAAAACAGCATCTCAGGAAATAGGGGGCCTTTTAGACAGCGAAATTTGATGGCGGTCTGGCACACCTTCAAGGTATAGGCTACCTGCTGCAAAAAATTCCAGGACTTTAGGACCATTCTACTAAAAAAAACGCTAGAAGTGGGTCCGAACGGACGGACAAAGCGCAAACAATAGCACATTTTTTTTAATTCTTAAAAAATGCGCTAAAAATAAAAATATGTAATAAAAAAATTAAATTAAAAATAAAATAAAAATAAATAATTAAATGGGAGCTAATTGTTGGTCAGAACTCGACTGCTTATCTATCCGCTACCATCGCCAATTAGATATCTCCTATCTCACCGGGGGGCGCGTCAGCCCCGAGCCAGCGCAGAATTCTCTTGAACCTTGAAACAAGCGGGTTGGCAATTGGGGTTGAATGAATGAATGAAAGACGGAGCTCATACCTATGTGGGAAACGGTTAAGGTTGCCGCACACTTGTCCGTTCCGTCATGTTACGCAGCGTTAAAAAACATTCAACATAAAAGACATTTAGATTTAGTTAAACGTCTATGCGCACATTAGCCCGTTCCGTCACGTGCGTTAGCGCGACCCGTCGCCGGTGTCGACGTGACCCAATGGACAAACGTGCGGCAACCTTTACATCACGCTCACGTGTATTATTTCCCGCCTCGGCCCTTTTACTGCAACCCTCGGTCGCGACCAAAAGGTCAACCACCGCCAATCTATGCCTCGCATAGGACGAAAATTTTGTTTTTGTTCTAAATTTCTCTCAGACGAACCGTTGTATGCTATGTCTCTCATTGCTCACACTTTGCCTCAAGTTCAATCCCTAACTCCTTGTGATAATATTAGGCCGAGGTCCACACCACTTTTTTATTTGAACGAATAAGGTCATTGACACTTAATCGTTACGTGCGACCCACGGCTGTCATAACCTTGAAATATATTCGAATATCCGCCATTAGTAATAATAATAACCCAATGATAAAAACAGCATGGCCAACTTGATGGCCAGCAGCAGCTTACTACATACGGGCGTCGCTCACATTACAAGACACAAAACTCACGAAAATCTGTGATGCTGTCGTTAGCATCCCTTAACAGCATTGATGCAGGCAAAAAAAATCTACATTTGACAACAGAATTGAATAAGCATGATTTCATAACGAAATTTTTCAGTCTTTCACTATTCAACAAAAAGAAGAAAACTGTTGAATATTAATTTTTGCAAAAAAACATTTGAAATAAACAGACATCACCAAATAATATCAAATTTTGTACTTTAACCATATTTGATGGAAAGAAAAATATAATCAGGTAAATCTAACAACAATATGTAAATCTCTTATTTACATTTAGAATTAAATAAAAGTAAATGCTAAATGTAATGATAGAATAATACAGTACAAGAGGTGAAACCACTTAAATAAAAATATCACATAATAGCAACGATCACTGCTGCTCTTTTTTAATGGTACCCATTTCTTCAAGCAACTCCTGTATACCATCAGGCATACGACCAGCATCAATTTCTCTTGCCCAAAACTGAAACTGTACATCACACTAATTAGATGAAAGTTACAAAAGTTCTTTTGGTACCTTTTCTAATTCTTTCTTAAGTACCAGCACAGCCTTTTCTCTATCAGCAACTAGCTCTTCTAAATACTGGTATCTTAATTTCTTTCTGGCCCTACATTCCCGAGCGCTCTGCCTGCTGCGCTCTAAAACATTACACTAAATATCAAAATTTAAAGAAATTGTAATTATACCTAATTTAGCTTTCATGTCAACCTTCTCTGCAGATTTTCTTCCCGGTTTACGTCCTCGCTTTCCAGATTCCTTGCGTTGAGGACCCTCCTCCTGTAAATCAAAATTGCACTGCTTTAACGCTAACATTTTCCACTGCAACGCTGTTATCATAATTTATGTGAATCAGGCAGAATTATCACATGCGTTATCTTATGTTGGAGAAGTAATTTTAAATGAGGGTCTTTTTTAAATGAACGTTTGTTACTAAGGAACGAAATCTTCAATGCCATGTAAAAGAGAAAGTACCTAAGAGGATTAACGCGAAGCTAATAATGTATTTAAAGAAATAATTCAAAATGTAATCGGCCGAATTAACATTTACGATTAAAGGTAATTAATTGCCTCGCTACCGGTAAATGATCACTGCGTAGCTTTCTCGCGACTGATAAATGAAACGCGAGGATTTAGGTTGAAAAACGGCCGTACGAAATGTGAATATTTTCGATTTTTGACCGGTCACATCGAGTAGGTACTACGTGCAAACAAAAGCGACGCGGAAGTGGACGAATAAAAAACAAAATTAACGTCAATTTAAGCGGGAGGGTGGAGTAAATTAAGTGCAATACCTAAATGCAACGCCGACTATGCTTAATTTTACTAAAATAATTTAAAAATAAATCTCACCGTACTGCGTAGCGCGTAATGCGTAGTAGACCGGTTTCAGAACGCAGTGGAAAGCGAGCCGATCCAGGCGACGTGACCAAACCGTTAAAAGGATATTGCGCAGTTTTGTAACGATTGTGTTGCTGTGGGGGTTCGAAGTCAGTCAATATTTCACGCAGTCTGGATTGTACGTCGACAGCTTTGTAAATGGTAGGAATGCACGAGACGAAGCGCACTTTATTTACAAACAAGAGTTTGTGTCCTTCGTGATAAATTGAATATCAAACGCGAGGTCAACATACTTATTGACACAAAAAATGAAAGAATTAAGTACGCCGATAAACGCCAGTTTACTACTCCACTAACATCCTTGAATGATAAAGTAAAAAATCGCAGTTATATCCTCCTTTCTCGAAGGTTAATTAACGTTTAAAAATGAGTAATTGGCTAACCTTTCGTTTTTGCTTTTAAATTTCGCGGGCAAATCACCGCGCACGCGCGATTTAATCAAAGCAATCACGAACCTTAAAGTGCCTCTTTAGAAATACAAATTGCAATATTTACTTTACTACAAGTATCACCTTCCCAATTAAAAACTATTTAAACGAGATATTGATTTATGAACCTTAAACACTTAAATGAAGATCTTCAAAATGAGAATGCATAATTTCAAAAGCATATTTACCGTAACGTTATGTTCGTTAATCACTTGCAATTCCTGGTATTCCATTGTCACAACACGAAACCGTTCTTATATTGTCTAAAACTGAAATATTTCACAAACTACACCTGCAGAAGATAAACGTGTCTGTGTGTTTACAAACATTGGCAAGGTCGCCCAAATAACGTAATTTAAAGGTCTACACGTGCCCGGTAAAGAAGGTATCTAAACGAATTATACTGCCCTCTGCAGATTTCTAGGTTAACTATATCGTCGGGAAGAAATTATAGAACCATGTAATTATGCTTTTATTGATGTAAAGCGCGTTTGACGGTTTTTATGTAAAATTAATGTGACTAAAAATAACTGCTGTGGTCGTTGAAGGTACATAAAGTAAAACAGACAGTAACTAAAGGCTTGCGCGCACTAGACCGACCCGTAGTGAACTAGTGGGTGTTTCGCGGTCGACGAAAAAGACGTTATCATCGCAAAATGGATAAAGGCTGATTTTGCTTGTCATCTAGTACAGGGAACTATGATATGATTTAACAAGGATAACAGCACAGCTGCAAATAAGAAATGGCGCTATTAATTCGTAAAAACGCAAAAAACTACGAACATACACTACCCAAGACAAAGTTTGCCAGACAAAAAAGAAGATATTTTAACAATATTTCAATAAATAGTAACTTCTCCGACAGTAGTCGGAATTTTTTCAGATTCAAAACTGCATTTTGTTAAGCATCAAAATTTGCCAAATTTCAACTACCTATATTCTCTTACAGTTTCCGGGATCCTGTACGCAGTAGGGTTTTATGTGTATGTTTTTCCCTATGTCTACTTTTAAATGACAAAATCTCTTCTGAAGGGCGCCTAATTTTATGCAACCAAAATAACTTCTTAAAACAAATAAAGATCTGGCCGTTACATTATTTAATTTGAAATTGTTGCTTTGGCTTCCGTATTTTTATCTTCGTTCGTATGGGATATTGTCAACTGGTATAGTGCAAGGAGCGTAACAAATTGTTAAGCCCATATTCAAATTAATTAATATGACAGCCAGATGTTTATTTATTTGTTTTTAAAAGTTGTTTTGGATGCATAAAATTAGGCGGCTTTCAGAAGAGATTTTGTCTTTTAAAAGTAGACATAAGGACAAACAATAAATGCTATGTCTACTTCTTAATAAGTATCACTGTATATGATTCAAGCAAATGTAAACAATGATACAAGTTATTACATTTGTGGTATGTGGTGTGTCACTACATTCTGTGAAAACCGTTTTTCGAATGTAGTGGTATTAAATTTGTTCCTTTCAATGAGAGGTCAGGTGCACTAGTAATTTGAAGATAATGCCTACGGTATCCTAAAAGGTGTTGCTCAAACTCCAATTTAGTATTTATCTCATAATCACATTTAAAAACTAGACTATTTCATGTTTTAAAAGGTGTTGTTTAAAGTAGTATTTGTTATTTGTCCCATAATCACAATTAGCACATTTAAAATCCTTTGAAATTCGATGTTTTAAAAGGTGCCGTTTAAGGTGGAATTTATTATTTGTACCATAATCACAATCACCACATTTAAACTCCTTCGCAACTTTATGTTTTAATAGATGTTGTTTGAAGTGGTGTTTATTATTTGTTCCATAATCACAATCACTACATTTAAAATCCTTCGAAACTTTATGTTTTGAGAGATGTAGTTTGAAGTGGTGTTTATTATTTGTCCCATAATCACAAGTATCACATTTAAGATCCTTCAAAACTTTATGTTTTAACATATGTTGATTGAAGTTGCATTTAAAATTTGTCCCATAATCACAATCAGCACATTTAAAATCCTTCAAAACTTTATGCTTTAATATATGTTGTTTGAAGTGGTGTTTCTCATTTGTCCCATAATCACAATCAGCACATTTAAAATCCTTCGAAACTTTATGTATTAAAAGATGTTTTTTGAAGTTGCCTTTACCATTTGTCGCATAATCACAATCAGAACATTTAAAATCCTTCAAAACTTTATGTTTTAAAAGATGTTGTTTGAAGTTGCGTTTATGATTTGTCCCATAATCACAATCAGCACATATAAAATCGTTCGAAACTTTGTGTATTAAAAGATGTTTTTTTAAGTTGCCTTTATCATTTGTCCCATAATCACAATCAGCACATTTAAAATTCTTCAAAACTTTATGTTTTAATATATGTTGATTGAAGTTGCATTTAAAATTTGTTCCATAGTCACAATCGGCACATTTGAAATCCTTCAAAATTTTATGTTTTAATAGATGTTGTTTGAAGAGGTGTTTATTATTTGTCCCATAATCACAATCAGCACATTTAAAATCCTTCAAAACTTTATGTTTTAATAGATGTTGTTTGAAATGGTGTTTATTATTTGTCCCATAGTCACAAACACCACATTTAAGATCCTTGAAAACTTTATGTTTTAAAATATGTTGATTGAAGTTGCATTTAAAATTAGTCCCATAATCACAATCAGTACATTTAAAATCCTTGAAAACTTTATGTTTTAATAGGTGTTGTTTAAAGTGATGTTTATCATTTGTTCCATAATCACAATCAGCACATTTAAAAGCCTTTGAAACTTGATGTTTTAATAGATGTTGTTTGAAGAGGTGTTTATTATTTGTCCCATAGTCACAGTCATCACATTTAGAAACTTTATGGTTTAAAAGGTGACGTCTAAACTGGGATTTATAATTTGTCTCATAACCACAATTAGCACATTTAAAATCTTTAGACAATGTTTTGCACTGGCTTAAAGGGAGACGTTGAAGGTTAGAGAGTGGCTGTACTTCATTATATTGAGATTTAGAGCACAGTGTACTAATGGTAAGTTCGTCCTTTATTGTTACCAAAACTTCGTTGCGCACTGAAATGTGTTCCTGAAGAAAGGAATTGATTTCTTCTTCTTGTTTTGGTTCGATTTTAACGAGCTGCGTGTCATTATCTCCATCCATACCTAATAACAATAATGTTACAAATAAATGTGTGAAAAATCTATTTGGGTATTAAACAATACAGAATGAGATCCCAGGGCATCCAGACTTTGTGAGGAAAGAGTAGTGATAGTATGACATAAAACATATTATGCCTGTTGCACATGATGCTTAGTTCTGGCACAAGTACTAATCATTTGTACATGCGCTGGCATTCACACATTGCAAGTTCCTGCACTGTGTGAACGCTACTGCATAGTTTAGTTTCCCAACGACAGCAATTGAGAAGCATGTGTTATTAAACCGAGTATTAAACCGATTATACGTGGCGTGAAATAAATAGGTATGGGAAGAATTAAAAAAAGTACAGTTTCCATACTCCATTTAAATTTATTCATTATTATAAAATTTGACTCGATTGGTGTAGGTTTGTAAGAGTTTGAGTAGCCCAAGATATATATATATCTTGGAGTAGACCATCCGTCCAGGGTCGGTTTTTGGTCACAAAATCAAAGGGAATTTGCCGCAAGTGCTCACAGGTTTGTGATTTGTAAAGGTTTGGAGTTTATGGCAAATGCCAAGCGTGTGGATCCGGCATAAGGAAAAGGTAGATACCTTAGATCATTTTTATATGATCTAAGGTAGATACTTACTTATTATTTATTAATCTATCACAATCGAGGAGTAATGACAATAACAATTAACATGTTCTTTAAAACCACTTGAAGATAGCTACATGATAACTACCTGTTCTGTGATAACTACTCTCAAACACTGCGTTGCCATTGTTGCCAATCATATGCATTTACTCCGCGATTCCAAGCAAGGATGAAGCGGCAATAAAATAAACTTAAAAGTTTGTATAAATTTCTGAAACGTTTAGGTTTAGGTATAAGTAGCGACTTTCTACGTATACAGTTTTTGTAATGACTGTAAAATAAACAATGTCAAGAGTACTTTGTTGTGTCAACCCCCAGAAGAAATCCCGATCTAAGTTACCACAACTTCTGAACTTTCTCAAATGAAACAAAAGTAAGGTTAAGTTAAGATGGACAAATAACGGGCGATCAAAAATCAGTTGCTGTCGAGCCGCCTTTGGAAGTTAAGTACGATCCCAAGTAAACAAAATTCCAAAGGTGACTCGACAGCAACTCATTTTTGATCGCGTAGTAGTTTGTAGTGTATTTAACCCCCAGATTCTACGCTAACTTCACACTTCAAGAACACGGAACGGAAATAAAGTCAACCCGGCAACGTTTAAAAATGGTCACCCGAATGAAGATTTCCTCCAATATTAAACAAGATCCCGCTTAAATTTGAACAGTGGCATGTGATCAAACGTCTAAGACAGGGCCCCCTTACGTTAGTTGTAAACAACGCTATGACCTGAAGCACAGTAGGGAAGGAACGGAAAATAAACACTCAAATTGTGAAAAGTTTGTTTAATAATGATCGCAATTATTATTGATTGTAAAAGCTCGGAAATTTAAGTCAAAATAAATTATATTGCAGAAATAAACTTTGAAAATGGTAGTTCACCGAATCAAAGATGAAATAGGCTGGAAAAAAAGAACTTACCAATAAAAAAAGCCCGCCGTCAAATTAATATTAATTTGTGTAATAAAATTAATTGTTTGTAATCATGTGAATGCGCAACATAAAATTATAACAATACAAAAAGTAACATGTAGACTTCAAGAGGTAACATAATATAGGCACAGACAACATATACTACAGACGGTCAATCTTAAGGGGAAAAAGCACGCTAAGTTTTGTGACAAATGTCCCCTTATTTAAAAACCTGCTATCCCTCTATTTTGCTCCATCTATTAGCGCATACAACAATGTGTTGGTTCTTCTACAGATTTCTTTTATTGGAATGGTTTTGCAAATTGTCTAGGGAAAGAAGTATTGATACTTTTTTGTTAGAAAGCTGTCCCACAAGAAATCCCCATAATTTACATCTGAGGCGAAATGCTGATAATCTTTGCAGGTACACATACAAAGCAAATATCACTTCATATTCGCAATTACGTATTACTCGTTGTCTTTGGGTGCATAAGAAACGATATAACTTGCACCACTTTTCGAATTCTCGAAAAAAGTGTAATCTCCGTGTTTGTTTATATACCTACGTACTCTACTTGCCTACTTGTCTCTCCGTTTGTGGAATAAATCTTGCAATCAGCAATTTAACTTCATTTAACTTGGATAAAGAAAACCTAAACG